AAGGGCACAGGTGTCATGTGGAGGGGAGAGTGACTCTCCCAGAGTGCCTGAGGGGGCCTGAGGCATGAGGCTTGTTCGAATCATGCTTGAGGAAGGCAGGTAACACAGAGGGAGACTCGAGCCTGCGTTTGGGTTGGAGGACTTCCTGAGGGGAGTGCAAACGGTGCGGCCTCTGTCCAGGTGTGGATCACATGCGAAGGCTACGGCCTCAAGGTGGCTGTGGACGGTCAGCACCTGCTGGAATACAGCCACCGCCTGAAGAACCTACCCACCATCAACAACCTGGAAGTGGGGGGCGACGTCCAGCTGACCCATGTGCAGGCATAGCTGGGCTCCCTGGCCCTGGGGCCGAGGGCGGGGCCGTGCTGCTGACCGCATGGGCTGTTCACCTCCATCTTCCCTTCCCTCTCCCTGTCCCTACCCTCAGGCTCTCCCAGCCTGCTGGGCAGCTGGGGCTTTTCTGGAAAGAAGGTGTGTCATGCCTGGGTGGCTCAGTCATTAGGTATCTGCCTTTGGCTCAGGCCCTGATCCCAGGGTCCTGGGATGGAGCCCCACATTGGGCTCTCTGCTCAGCAGGAGGCCTTCTTCTCCTCCCTCTCCCACTCCCCCTGCTTGTATTCCCTCTCTCGATGTCTCTATCAAATAAATAAACAAAATCTTTAAAAAAAGGAAAAAAGAAAAAAAAAGAAAAGAAAAGAAGGCATGTTGGTCTGGCTCTGCTTCCGGCTGTGGCCAGCCTGGCGTGGAGGAAGCAGCTGGCCAGGGGCTGCCTTCCTCGGTCAGGGCGGCGTCCAGGGCTCAGGCTGCCTACATCCTCCCATCTGAGGAGCGGCGGGTGGTCCCTGCAGGCTAAGCCCTATGTTCAGTCCCCTTGGCAGAAAGGGAGGGTCCTGGGCCTTCCCAAGCTCCCAGACCAGGCCTACACCCCATCTGCCTCCCAGCCACACGTCCAGCCCGCCAATCAACTCCATCTCAGCACCACGCCACCAGCTGTTCGTTCCACGTGGGAGGTGATCTCCGGGGCCCTCCCCCTCTGTCCTACTTTCCACCTTTCCTTACACCGGGTCCCACCCTCCCTGCTCCACGGAAGTCAGCCTGATACTCCACGGGTCTCCACCAACTAACCGGACGTGTCTCGACAGGGGGCTCTGCTCTTTCCTAGGGTCTTTCAGAGAAAGAAGACAGGTGTTTATTGGCACGTAAGTTCAGGGTCATTGTGGTCACTGAATGTGTTTGGAACATTTTGGAGTCTCTGGAATTGGGGAGGTTCTGGGTGAGGGCAGAGGGGCAGGGAGCATGGGCTCACTTTGATGTTCCCCACAAACCCCACATGGGTGGGAGAAAGCACGCCGGGCTCGGCCCTCCAGGGCGGGCCTCTGTGATGCACGAAGATTGGTAACAGGTGAGCCCAGCAAATAGCCTCACGCTTCTGAGACGGGCCAGGGTCCGGGCCAGAAGGCCAAATGGCAAGGCTGGCTTATCAGAACCCTGTGTCCCAGTGGGAGGAGGTGGCAGGTGTGGTGTCAGGAGAAGTGACTCAAGCTGACCCGTTTGTGTTGTTCCACTGGGGGTCCTGGCGTTTGGGGTCCGGGTGTGGTGGGGAGAGTGACTCAGCATGTGGGCTTCTACCAGCCCCTGGGCCAGTGCAGGGGGGCCGGTCCTGTGTCCACATGATGCCAACCCATCCTGCTACCTCCACCAAGAATCCAGCACCTCAAGAACCAGGCTGGGGCTCTGAGCCTCGTCCTCGGACCAGCAGCCCCTGGGAGCCTGTCAGGAAGGCAGAATCCCAGGCCTTGCTGCAGGCCTCCTGAATCAATTTGCCTTCTGGCAAGATCCCAGGGGGCTTATGTGCATCTCAGAGGCGAGAGGCGCTGGCCTAGGTGACCATGATCTTGACCACATTGTTCGGATGCAGAGCTGGAGCACTGGTGGCCGGGATACTTCTTTCTCCCCTGTCACCCCACCTACACAGGGAAGAAGTGGGCCAGGGAGCCAGTGAATTAGAGGCCAAACCCAAGCTGGGAGCCCAATTTTCCCAAACCCCTCACTTAGCTTCTGGCTGAGTTTCTTCCTTATTCTAAGAGAAGGAAACATGGCTCAGCCCCTTAAGAAGTCTTCCCCATGGAAGATATATGTCCTTCACTCACTGTCAAGTCTTTGACACAAGGTCCAACCTCACCTGCTTTGAAACCCAAATTATTATTGGCCCAACTCTCAGGAAACAGGAAGCCCCAGAGCCAAACATGGCAACTTTCTACTAGGGGATTGTTGGTCAAGGCTTTCCTGAGGAGCTGGCATCACAGGCAGTATGAGATGCGCCGCGTGGTTGGTGCGCCGCGTGGGAGGTGTGCCCCGTATGTGGTGAGCCCCATGTGAGGTGAGCCCATGTGACTGGAGCCCCTGTGAGGTGAGCCCATGTGACTGGAGCCCCTGTGAGGTGAGCCCCCTGTGAGGTGAGCCCCCTGTGAGGTTAGCGCCCTGTGTGAGGTGAGCCCTGTGGGAGGTGAGCCCCGTGTGAGGTGAGACCTTGTAGGTGCGCCCCATGTGTAGTGAGCACATGTGAGGGGTGCCCCCTGTGAGATGAGGCCCCTGTGAGGTTATGGCCCTTTGAGGTGAGCCCCATGCAATGTGAGCCCCCTGTGAGGTAAACCCATGTGAGGTGAGCCCACAGTGAGGGGTGCCCCATGTGAGGTGAGCCCCATGTGTGGTGAGCCCTGTGTGAGGGGTGCCCCCTGCAAGGTTAGTGCCCTGCGAGGTGAGCCCCGTGTGAGGTTAGCGCTGGGTGGGGTGAGCCCCGTGTGAGGTGAGTCCTGGGTGAGGTGAGCCCCCTGTGAGGTGTGCCCCCTGTGAGGTGTGCCCCGTGTGTGAGGTGAGCCCTGTGTGAGGGGCACTCCCTGTGACGTTAGCCCCATGTGAGGTTAGCTCCATGTGAGGTGAGCCCCGTGTGAGGTGAGCCCCATGTGAGGTGAACCCGTGTGAGGTCTCCTGTGTGAGGTGAGACCTTGTAGGTGCACGCCACGTGTCTAGAGCCCTTGTGAGGTGTGCCTCATGTGTGGTGAGTCCATGTGAGGTGATCCTACATGAGGTAAGCCACATTTGAGGTGAGTCCCCTGTGATTTGAGCCCTGTGTGAGGTGAGCTCTGTGAGAGGTGAGCCCCATGTGTGGTGAGCCCCGTGTGAGGTGTACCCCATGTGAGGTGACCCCCCCCATGAGGTAACCCCCCTGTGAGGTGAACCCCCTGTGAGGTGCTCCTGTATGAGGTGAGCCCCATGTGTGGTGAGCCCATGTGGGGTGAGCTCCGTGTGAAGTGTACCCCCTATGAGGTGCACCCCCTGTGAGATGAGCCCCTTGTGAGGAGTGCCCCATGTATGGTGAGTCCCGTGTGGGGTGAGGCCCGTGTGAGGTGAGCCCCATGTGGGGGTGCCCCGTGTGTGGTGAGCCCGTGTGGGGTGAGACCCGTGTGAGGGGCACCCCTCACGGGCGCCTGGTGTGAGGGGTAAGCCCCTGTGTGAGGTGCACCCCGTGTGAGGTGAGCCCCGTGTGGGGGCACCCGTGTGAGATGAGCCCCATGTCAGGTGAGCCGCGAGTGAGGTGAGCCCCAAGTGAGGTCTCCCATGAGAAGTGAGACCTTGTAGGTGTGCCCCATATGTGGTTCGCCTGTGTGAGATGAGCCCCTTGTGTGGTGACCCCTGTGCGTGGTAAGCCCGTGTGAAGGGTGCACCTGTGAGGTGCTACCATGTGAGGTTAGTCCCTTGTGAGGTTAGTTCCTTGTGAGGTGAGCCACGTGTGAGGTGAGCCCCCTGTTAGGTGAGCCCCGTGTGAGGTGAACCCCATGTGAGGTGAGCCCTGAGTGAGGTCTCCTGTGAGCGGTGAGACCCTGTAGGTGTGCCCCATGTGTTGTGCACCTGTGTGAGGTGAGCCCCGTGTGAGGGGTGCCCCCATGAGGTGAGCCCCATGTGAGTTTAGCCCCATGTGAGGGGCACCCCATGTGGTGAGCCCCATGTTGTGAGGTAAGCCCCATGTGTGATGAGCCCCGTGTGTGGTGAGCCCCGTGTGAGGGGCATCCCCTGTGAGGTTAGTGTCCTGTGAGGTGATCCCCATGTGAGGGGCGCCCCATGTGGTGAGCCCCATGTGAGGTGAGTCCTGTGTGAGAAGCACCCCCTATGAGGTGAGCCCCGTGTCAGGTGAGCCCCAAATGAGGTGTGCCCCCGTGATGTGTGCCCCAAGTGAGGTGAGCCCCATGTGTGAGGTGAGCCCCATGGGAGGTGCACCCCACGTGAGGTCTCCCATGTGAGGCGAGACCTAATAGGTGCACCGCATGTGTCGAGAGCCCGTGTGAGTTTCACCCCATGTGTGGTGAGCCCGTGTGAGGTGAGCCCCATGTGAGGTGAGCCCCAAGTGAGGTCTCCCATCAGAGGTGAGACCTTGTAGGTGTGCCCCATGTGTGGTGCGCCTGTGTGAGATGAGCGCCTGTGAGGTTAGCCCCTTGTGAGGTGAGCCACAATGTGAGGTGAGCCACATGTGAGGGGCGCTCCATGTGTGGTGAGCCCCTTGTGAGGTGCGCCCCATGTGAGATGAGGCCCGTGTGTGGTGAGCCTGTATGAGGGGCACCCCGTGTGTGGTGAGCCCTATATGAGGTCTTCCCTGTGAGTTTAGACCTTGTAGGTGCACCCCTTGTGTCCAGAGTCCATGTGTGGTGAGCCCCGTGTGTGGTGAGCCTCATGTGAGGTAAACTCGTTTGAGGCAAACCTGTGCGAGGCACAGCCCAGGCCCCATAGGCAAGCCTGGTTTCCTTAACCTCCACTACAGGTCTGCAGGTCTGCACAAAACTCCGCAGGCTGCCCCACTCCTGGTGGCTATTTTAGAGAAGCAGTGTGGCCAAGCTAGTATGTCCCTCTGTGGGGGATTTGGATCCAGGTTGTGCCACCCACCAGTCCCCAACTCTCTGTAGAACGGAGTTGCTTTCCCTACAAAACACTCCCACACACATACAATGTGGTTAAAATAAAATGCATTTCATATAAATATCTCCATCAAGGAATCATACGGGGAAGTCCCAAGTGGCCCTTGAGAGAAGACTTGGGGTTCCTTTTCTTTAAATACAGAGTTATAAATAACTGTACACGGGGCGGCTAAATACAGTGTAGCACGACAGCGCCCCCTGCTGGTCACTCCAAGTGGTGTAGTCAGAGGAAGGTTCTCGCCCTTCTTCTTCTCACCCACCAGCTGAGGGGCCTGGCACTGCGGATTTAGTCTTCAAGGGACCTGGGAAAGCCCAACTCTCCATTATCCAGGAAGGGTGGGCTCAAGGGAGATAAGAGGTTTTACTCAGTCCAGGCTGCTACTCAGTAGCAGGTCAAGTATGAGGCTTGGTGGAGAAAGAGCTGTGAGGCTCGGCGATATAATTTCCTTCCATCTCCCCAGGCCCTGTGACCGCAGATAATCGAGAGTTGGCTCCACCAGTAAGTTCTGTGGCAGCAACTTCAACTTCTCCCATGGGCTGCTGGAACTCTGGGATCACTGGGTTGCCTTGCTGCCCCATCTTTTTTCACCTCGTAAGTAAACACAGCACCAAAGATATCTTCATGATAGCGCTTCTGGCTCTTTAAGGGAAACAGAACCAGGGTGTCAGCTCTGCTGGTCCAGCCACCTCTCATTCATCAAGTCCAGGCAGGACGAGCCCCTGGGCCTCCCCCAGCTTCCCTGTCCCGTGTACACTCATGAGCCAACTGCCTTCACAACTGTCACGCTGAGAGTGTACCTGAATGCCACTAGACTAACTCCCATCAGCACCCAGCTTGCCGTGAACCGCCCGAACAGCTCCCCAAGCCTGCCTCATATCTGTCCCCCAAAACGCTCTAAGACAGGGGGCTCTGAGAGAAATACGTTTGGCAAATGCCACATACTTTCTCCTTGTCTTGAGGAGTCACGTTGGATGGTAGTGTGTTAGAGGCTCTGAGGAGTCTTGTTATCAAGCAGCATGTTGCCTTTGTGTAACCGAGCAATCAGACCAGAAGGGACAGGCAGGCCTTCTAAGAGCTCAGACCTCCAGCCACTGCCAGGGTTCCTTTGGGTTTCAGGACTCTCCTGGTCCTTGTGCCCCCCTGCCTGTGCCCTTGAGCTGTATCCCTAGCCCGCCCACCAGCTGCCCTACCTTCAGCTGGAAGAAATAGTCCTCCACCTGCTTCTCACTCAGGCTCAGCTCAGCAGCCACCAAGCCCTTCAGCGTACGGGCCACATCCCGGGCCATACGCACGTCCCCACAGACATAAAGGTGGCCATGCTCCTCGTGGAGCACACGGAGCACCTCGCTGGCCAGCTGCTGCCGCAGGAGGTCTTGAACATAGACCTGAAACCAGAGGAGATGGGGAGATGGTGGGTCAGGTCCCTGGTGCCAGGGGTGAAGCCTGAAGTCAGGCCTGCTGGCCAGGAGGAGGCAGTGAGGGGCACGACCGGCTGGAGGGTGAGGACCCTCCCAGCCAGGACCTTGCCCCGGGATTAGGCTCAGGATAAGGAGAGGCACTGGCATCCCGCCCAGCTCAGGCCTAGGGTTGGTGCTCCAGAGAGGAACGTTGGCCGTGCACTGCCCTCAAGGAGCTGACCATTCAGTGAGGCTCCAGCATCGACAACTGATTCACCATGCTTCAGAGAGGCATCAGTCAAGCCGCTTCCCCTGCCCGGGGCTCTGAGGCCCCGCCTGTAGACACCCCAGAACCAGAGCCCCTCTATGTAGACCATCCATGGAACCTCCAGTGTAATTCAGAGCAGGACACAGAGCACCAGGGTCCCTGGTTACACAGAAGTCTAGGAGCCTCTGCTCTCGTTCCCCACGAGATGCCCCACAACCCCAGCACTGACACAAAACACTGGGCCTGGGAGGAGCCCAGATGGAACAAATTCACAAGGCCTGAGGTGAGGGTCTGTCCCAGCTCCCCAGGGCAGCAGGGACCATCAACAGGGGGTGTGGTGTTTAAGCATAAAGCCAGCCTGGCCCACGTCATCCCGGGCAGGTGTGTATCCCAGGGGAGGGCTTTTAGCCAGTCAGGCACGGGGACTAACCCACCATGCGATCCTGGTTAGTCCTCAGTGTGTCGAGCCCGTCTCTCCTCCCAGCAGTGAGTGCACTGCTCTGACGAGTGTGTAACTGCCTCCGGTTCAGAGCTCAGATGAAGGCTCAGAGAGCAAGCGGCTTGTGGGGAACAGGCCGCCCCCCAAGTCTGTGCTGTAGTGCCCCACCCACGGCCTGGGCAGCCGCCGCACTTACCTTGGGCTGGCCAGGCAGACGAGAATAGGCTGTGTGCACCTCGTGCAGCACCCCATTCTGGGCCATCTCCAACATCTCCTCTCGATACAGGTGGTCCTCATCTGGGCGGCAGCACCCGAACACCAGGGTCATGCGGCCGGCCTGGAGCCCTGTTAAGACCCAGCGGGATGCAGTTACCAGGGTGGCCACCAGGGGGCGGGCCATGGCTCAAGGCCCATTCAGCCGGAGAGTCAACTTCAATTATCATTTCATGCCCACAAGTCTCCTGTCCCCTCTTCACAGTTGAGGAAACTGAGGCCCAGGGCATTCAGATCACTTGTCCACACAGACTGAGGCAAATGGGAGAGTGGGCCAGGGAGGTCCCAGGGAGACGCCAGGACACCTGGTGTCCCCTCCCTGCCTGTCGGGAACCCCCTAGCTGTACCTTTGTGCTTGGTGTCATGTAGCCGCTGCTGCCAGAAACCACGAAAGGGGGCGATGCCTGTGCCAGGTCCGATGAGGATGCAAGGATGGGAGGGGTCCTCAGGGAGCTGGAAGTTGTCAGCACTAAAGGGAACAGATGGAGAGGCTCAGTCCTCAGACACCCAGGGATGGATGCACAGGCTGGACAGGGGCTGGGGAGCTGAGGGTGCAGCAGAGCTGGTGGGGGGGGAGTGTGGTAGGAGTGGAGAAGACAACGAGCTCAAATTTGATTTTCCAAGTCCTGGAGGCCGCTTTATTTCCCCTGTCCAGGTACAACCTCACCTTGTCCTGGCCTTCTGAAAAAAGGCTGAACCTCACTATACTCTGGGCCCCCCTACACTGTGTCCTCTCTGTCCCTATTGGAGACCTGGCCATGCTCTATTGCCACAGGATAGAATGAAGAGGCCCAGTGTGACTCCAATGCCTTCATCAAGGGCCCAGATCCCTCCCTTTCAAACCAGAGCTCCCAGGGGCCAGTGGTGCCACAACGGACAGAGTGGAAGGGGTGCTTGCCTTCTCACGAAGCAGGGTACTGGGTCTTGGGGCTTCAGGCTGCTGAGCCACGTGCTACAGACACCATGGTGCAAGGGACCTTGGCCATCTGCAAGGACAACACAGACTTGACCAACATCGCCCTCTACCCTCCCACACCCCCAGGGGTGAATTGTCCCAGAGGCTCCCCCTGGACCAATGAGCCTCCTGGGAGTGTCCGCTCAGGCACTCTATGGGCTTTAGGGAGGGGGCAATTCTCCCGGTTCTGCAGTCCACCCTCTGTGAAGCCCATGCTGGGGAAAGCTGAAAGGCACGTCGAGAGCATGCCAGCCTCTCCTTCTGCCCCTCCAGGAACAGTCTCAGAAAAGGAACATGTACAAGATCACTCAAGTAGCAGTAAAATCAGATGACAGCTCAATTTCCCTGACTCCTACTCCCATGCTCCTTCCAAGAGTTCCCCCAGGGACCTTCCGAGCCCACCACTCAGCTCCGACGGCAGCAACCCAAAGTGGCCTGTAGGGTGGCCAGGGTCACTGTGCCATCATCTTCACGAGATAAAGCCCTTGCTGGCAAGAACTCTGAGTGACGGACAGCCTCTTAAGCATTCTGGTCTGCTCTGACACCTCTGCCTCCCTAATGGCCCCTCCCAGGCCTGTGGGAACCCCCACTTTCTCTGGGTTACCTCCCTTTCCCAAGGGCCCAGCATTTAAATCTATCCCAACCAACCTGAGAAGAAGTCCCTTTGTCTCTCTGAATGGGATCTGGCTCTCACAAGGTGTGCCCACCGCCCCTCTGTCTGAGCACTGAGACTTGACCTGGCAGATATTCTCCAGCAGAGCAGACAGAGTCTCTGCCCAGTGTTTAGAAACTGCAAGAGTGTGCTGTTCACCCAGCTTTGCCAACCCACGCAATGCTCAGTTACAGAGGGCAGGGCAGGGCAAGGGCATGGTTCAACCGCTGCAGGAGCCAAGTCCAAGGAGACAAGGTATTGGATCTCCCAGTCTATGTTAGCCCATCCCCTATCCTCTGCCCTCAGAGCATCCTATGCTTCTTGGCACCCATATCATGACAACTATCTATTTTGATGAGTCTCTCTTTGCTGCCCCCTCTAGACAGGAAGCTCCATGAGGGCAGAAGCTACATGCACCGTGTTTACACGCCCACCATTGTGGCAATAGAGAGATATGAAACAAACCATTATCGAGTGAGTGAGTGAGTGAGCAATCAAGACATCATCAGCCCCGCACCCAGGACAGACGATCAGGAATACTAAGAATCGCTGGGCTCCCACTAAGTACTGGGTGCTTTTTCCATGCAGTAGTGAGACCGCAGAGTGAAGCAGGGTGGACCCAGCAGTCAGAATGTGTGGGTTTGAATCCCGGTTCTCTACTTGCTCACAGTGCAACTCTGGGGCTTAACCTCTTTGTGCCTCAGTTTCCTCACCTATAAAATGCAAACAGTACCCATCTCATGTGCTTACCACTAAGACATATATATAGAGGGTTTGCTTGGTGCCTGGTTTCTAGCAATCTCTGCCGTATACCATACCTGCTACGGCTATTAACACTCTGGGAAGGGAACGCCTGGGTGGCTCAGTTGGTTAAGCAGCTGCCTTCGGCTCGGGTCATGATCCCAGCGTCCTGGGATCGAGTTCCGCATCAGGCTCCTTGCTCAGCAGGGAGCCTGCTTCTCCCTCTGCCTCTGCCTGCCATTCTGTCTGCCTGCACTCGCTCTCTCTCCCTCTCTCTCTGACAAATAAATAAAATCTTAGAAAAAAAAAAAACCACTCTGGGAAGTGGGTATGTAACTGACGAGCAGACCACACAGCTCAGAGCTGCTGAACTGCTGCACAGTCAGGAGCAGAGCTGGACTCTGGTCCAAAGCCTCTGCCCAGCCTTACCTCGGGTGCGGTACGTGAGCACAGCCACGGTGAGGTGGACCTCCATGGGTGTGCAGTCCCTGGAGGAGCTGATGGAGTAGTACCGGGGTTTCAGAATCGGGAGCTGGGAGAGCAGAAAGCCAGCAGACACCCGCAGGGACGGGAACTCCTGCAGCACCTCCAGGAATGTGGGGCTGTTGGTGAACTTCCACTTGTTGTATTCTGAGGGCTGAAAGCCAAGGGCAATGTGAGTGACTCAGGGCCCCTGCTCACACGGAGGCAGGAGGCCGTCACAATCCAGCATTCGTTTATTCACTCCTTCGTTCCCTCGGTGGATACTTCCAAGCACCAGGCGCTGTCCAGGGTGCTGGAGAGAAAATAGTGCCTTTCCTGGAAGCTCTCAGGTCAGTGAAAGCATCTCTCTGATTCATGTGCTTAGAACTCCACCGTCAGCCACTGGTGAGCAGGAGTCAAATCTTTATTATAATCTAATTTTGGACAGGGCTTTGGAATCATAAAGACCTGGGTTCCATCTTGACTGGGTGCCCCTGCTTGTTGTGGGATCTTGTCCCAACTACTTAACCTTTGTGACATGAGGATAGCATCACCTCTCTCATGGGAACATTTTGAGAATGAAATAAGAACATGTGTGTTGAGTTAGTACACTACAGCCACAGGATAATGGCTGGAATCAAGATAATTAGTGAGAAAAACGATGGCAATAGTGCCATCTTGTGCCTTTTACAAAGGTATGGGCCTAGAAAGTTGCAAGTGAGTTAATGCAACCTCTCATGTCCACTTCTCCATTCATCTTCACCATCCATCCTCCAAGACTTCCCAAGTTCCAGGCTCATGCCAGGTTTGGGGAACATACAAAGACAAGACGCAGTGGCTCTCCTTTTCTAGCTAATTTCTAACAAAGTATCCTTTGGTAACTTCCTGAAAATGCTCAGAAAAGTTCAGTTCACTCAACACAACTGTGTCCTAGAGATAGGATGGGAGAAGATGCTGACTTCCCACCAGCTTTTGACAAGTCTCACTTTGGGAAGCTGGGTCAGATTCCCCCTTGGCAGTTAAAGGCCGGCTCTGGGTTCTGGCTCCCCGTGATTCCGGGACCCTGCCCTTCCCTCACCCACTGGCCCAACCTTTACCTGGCACAGGATCTCCAGTCTCTGCCTCTCAGCTTCTTCTGTGGCCAGCTGTGCCAGCTTTCGGAGCAGCAGCTGGGTTGGGGGGGTGGTGATGTCCAGGAAGTAGGTGAGGGCCTGGCTGAGTGAGCATGGGGGCAGCCGCTTGTCTCTGAGCCAGTAGCTTCCTGGACAGGGAAAAGGAGGAGTCAGAATGGCAAAAGGGCCCCAGTTAGGTTTCCTGAAGGGTGATGAGACCTCTGGAGACACCCTCCATCCTACAGCTCCAGGGGAGACACTGAATTTCTGGTCCCAGGAACTGCAAAAGTGTTCATGTGCCCAATTCACATGCAGGAAAGTGGAGCCCAGAGTCACGGCTGCCAGTGAAGGCTGACCAACATCCCTGCAAAGGGCACCCAAGATGACATGATCCTGAAAAGTCAAGTCTGCACCAGAGTTCAGTGTCTCTATGGTTCAGACCTGAACTTCAGCAAAATATCCATAGGTGAACTATAGACTCACAATGACTAAATTCTCCAAAGACTGATGTATACCCCAGAGATCAGTTATGTTCATTTAGAGGAAAGCCCTGGACTACCGTCCCCTGGGGCTATACCAAGAAGTACTGAGTGAGCAGCAAGTCAGCCCAAAGTGTCAAGTCCCAAGGAGTCCCAAGAGGCTGTAGGCAGGGTAGTCACAGTGCTGACCCTGGAGCCAGCAGACGGGTTTGAACTCTGGCTCCTCACCATTAGCTAAGTGATTAAACCCTCTGAGCCTTGGGTTCTAGCTCTGTAATATGGATGTGATAACGAAACTTGTCTCACTGGGTTTGTATGAGCACTGAACAGAATGGTGTATGTATAATAGTACAGCATCTGGCACACACCTGCTCAACAAATATTAGGTAAAAATATCAGTATTATGTTATTTCATTCAGACCCAAGGCCTGAATGTGCCACATCAGTTTTCCTACAATCACAAGGACATCTCTGTCTCCTTGCTCATATTTCTCCTGGACAGTGGGAGACAATACCACCCTTTGCTTCTCTGACCCCCACTTTCCTATTGTGGCCACTCTCTTTAGGGGTACACATTCTTTAGAGGCAAGACTATCATTAAGGCCAGAGAGCTATTCCTATGGGCTGGGAGGCTCGTGATGGTTGATTTCTTTAGCTTATCTCTCCTAGTACCTGTCGCCCCCGTGCTGTGCTCCCCACATAGACGAGGCCTCACCGTAGCATGGGAAGCGGGCACTCCAGGTCCTCCCTAGGACAGTGTCTTCTCCCAGGTGAAAATGGAGAGAGGAGTCTCACTCTCCTGGTCACCCACTGTCTGCCCCTGCCCACAGGCCAAGTGAGGTGGGGACAAATGAGACCTCGGTGGGTGAGCAGTAGGAGATTAGAATACTGTGAGCATGCAAGTGGGTTACACACTTTGGGATCCAAGGAGACTCTCGGGGCATATTAAACCCCCTCTCTGAGCTTCTGGACAAATGTTTCCAAGCCTGTAGGAAATGGACATTCCTCCATTCCTGTGTTTATCTGGTGCCAGGAACTGTGGTCAAGACTGCTCTTTTGGTCTTTACTACAATCTCATGAGGAATGATCTCTTATCTCCATTTATTATCTCCATAGAGACATAGAAATAGATATTTCTTATCTCCATTTATCTCTTTGTCTCCATAGAGACAAAGAAAGCCTAGAGAGGTTGACATGCAGGCCCAAGGTCATGTAGCTAGTAAGTGATGGCTCAGGGACTTGAACTTCCAAGGCTCAGCCTTTTTGCAATGTTCCCACATTTTTCCATCATGTCATCAGGCAAACTGCACACACATGTTTATTGTGGGGCCTGAAGAGTCAAGGCATAGAAAATGCTGGTAATTACTCAAATAATGCCAGTTGCTACTGCGATGATGATGATGAAGAAGAAGAAGAAGAAGAAGAATATTCTCGCCTATCTGCCTCTTGTATGAGGTAGTGAGCTTTCTGAGTGTGGACACTGAGTTGCATTCATTTTAGTAGCCCAGGACCTGCCTAGTATATAGATGCGACCAAATGGTTAAAATTTTGATGCAAAAACAAGTGAATCCATCCATTAACAAAAAAGTGGCTGGGTGAGCAAAAGAATGGAGAGAGACTCCTCAGCCTCTGGGATTGGGCAGAGAGCTCCAAAGAAGCATCCCTTCTGTTCCAAAGCTGCATTAGTGTGGGCTTGGCTGGCCCACCCACTCAGCAGGAAGGGCAGGGTTAGGCACCCACAGCCCAGGTGCAGGACCAACCCATCAGCAGAGTTGGGGGGCTGCTGGGGGTGGGGGATGCTGGGGCCACTGTGTAAAAGTCTCACCGCTCTCGCTGAGGGTCTCCAGGTGCACAGGCTGGTGGGGCGCAGGGCTGTCTACCACTCGATCCAAGATGCCTTGCACCAGGGCCGGCTGGTTGCCCGGGCAAATCCCAAGGTGCTCTCCAGGCAGGTAGCTCAGCCCGTGGCTGTCCTCACAGGAGAGCTCCACCAGGAGGGTGGTGCGGCTGGAGAAGGGAAAAAGAAGCCTCTGGTGACGCCACCAGGATTTCCTCCAGTGCTCCCTGATGGGTGGGCCAGCTTCCCCAGGAAATGGGCCCTCTTTCATTTTCCTGCTCAGCTCGGTGAGCACGGGCGGGGTTGGGTTGCCGGCATCCCCTGGAGCTGGGTGCTAAAGAGGGCCTGGGGTCCACCAGGTCTGGGGCTTCTCTGTCGGGAGAGGGTGGGCAGCCCCTTCTTTTTTTTTTTTTTTCTTTTTTTAAGATTTTATTTATTTATTTGACAGAGATCACAGGTAGGCAGAGAGGCAGGCAGAGGGAGGAAGTGAAGCAGGCTCCCTGCTGAGCAGAGAGCCTGATGCGGGGCTCGATCCCAGGACCCTGGGATCATTACCCGAGCCGAAGGCAGAGGCTTTAACCCACTGAACCACCCAGGCGCCCCTGGGCAGCCTCTTCTTGACCGGGCTTGACTATACACCCTCTGCCTAAAGAAAGCATCCCCTCACCAGGAGATCTGTGGGCATTAGGACAAACCCTTCCTTGTCCCCAGCACAAATCTGGCTCTTATTAGAACAAAGCCCAGTTTTCCTAACAAATGATGGAAGATAGCGCAGATGAACAAAAGCTTCAGGGAATCCATAACACCGGTTTTTCCTGACAGGGAAACGTCCTTCCCTGCCAAAAATTTTCCTGAAAGTTCTTAAGACAGAGTCAAATGGCTTGAGTTCCTCTTGCCCTCCACCTTTGGTGAAAGGGTTTAGGGACAAAGGACCTGTGGTAAAACAGGTGCCTAGTTCTCAAGCTGGTAAACCAGCCCACAGTTAATGGAGGCCAGAGCTAAAGGCACCGGAGATCACAGGGGTTACTGGCCAAGCTTGTCCTACTGGTGCTACCCATGGCATTGTGGCTAATGCCAGGGCACACTTCTCTCCTTTCAAAGATGGACTCACTCTGGTCTTTCTTCCATTATATTAAACCTGTGTAATGTCACCCGAGCAGCCCTGTAGTCTCCCCTACCTGGACTGGGGACTCTGTAGATTCCGCTGTGATTTGAGCCGCAGGGTGAACACGTTCTTGGCGTGCATACTGCTGAGGGCTGTGGGGGACAGAGAGGATGATGTGGCAGAGTGGCTCTTTAGCATTGGCTGGGGGGTGGGGAGGCTCCCAGGTCTAAGTCAGTTATGCCTAGACACTACCCCTGGGACATCCCACTGTGACGGGGGTGGGGTTTTCTTCTTCTCTTTCCCTGCCATGTTTCTGAATCACAAATAAAGATGCTTGGTCAGACAAGGGTGTTTGTGCTGTTGCTAGGTGTGGGGGAGGGGATGCATGAGGTGCCCAAATAGGTGCATTTCTAGGCCATCCCCATGGCCTGGCACCTGCGGGAGAGCATAGTTGACATTGGGGCTATCCTCAACATGCAGAAACCGACAGGACTACTGCATTCAAGGTACAAGAAAAGAGGAATCAAGGGGGCCCAGCATCCAGAAGCTACCATCGAGAGTTCACGGCCGTCAGCCTGCTCAAATCCCAGCCAGGCCACATGCTAGCAACCTGCTTCACCTCCCTGAACTTTAGCTTCTTTATGCTGCCCCCACCCCTGCTTTTTTTAAATGTAATCTCTGCACCCAACATGGGGCTCGAACTCACGACCCAGAGATCAAGAGTTGGATGCCCTTATCAACTGAGCCAGCCAGGCACCCTGGTCCTTGGGCCCTTCTTGCAAGATGAATGTCAGGACTCACTCAGTGTGGGCAGGCGAGGAGCCCAGCACAGTGCCTGGCACACAGGAGGCCCTCGCTCGATGCTGGCTCCCCTTTCCTTTCCACCACCTGCCTGGGGCTTCCTCCCGAAACAGCCTCCTTTGGAAACGAAGCAAGCTCTCCAGCCTCACCCCCCAGCAGTCTCTCAGGTCCAACAAGAGACCAAGGCTTGGCAGCCCGAAGCCAGCTGCTGTTCAGAGAGTCCTGTGATCTCCTTGATCACCGACTCCGGGTGCAGATCCCCCCACTCCGGCAGGCAGGGCAATGAGCCCCATGCTGGGCGATGCAGCAGGTACCTTTGTTGAGGTCCAGAGGCTGCAAGTCCTGCACGAGCCGGTAGTGCTGTGGGTCCCAGGTCATACTGCAGGTGTAGCGCTTAGGGATCTGAATCCCGTGTTTGCCTCGCACATCGAATGCTTCGCAGGCTGCCTGCAAGAAGGTGGAGTGGACCGGTGTTAACCATGGTCGCCGTCATCTTCAATGACATCATCGCCAACAACGGGGCCACCACTTTGTAGGTGCTTACAGATCGGTTAAGTGCTTCCAATCATTACTCAGCACGTGGATTAGATCGGGCCACTGCGAGGACTCAGAGAGGTGACCAGGCTTGGCACACAGTTGCTACCGCTCTCCAAATGGATGCTAACACTGCACTAGTTAATATCTCACTTTACCCATGTGCCCACCCCCTGAGAGTGGGTGACTCCCATGCTCCTGGCGTGGAGTCACGTGGAGGCAGTGAGGGCCTGGGAACAAGGTCTGCCCCGACTCAAGCTGGTGCTCTAAGTACCACGGCTGGCTAAAATGCTCTGCTTACACGAGGAGCTGTGTTTTTAAGATTTATTTACTTATTTGAGAGAGAGCAAGTGCAGGGAGGGAGTGAGGGAGGGAGGGAGTGAGGGAGGGAGGGAGTGAGGGAGGGACGGAGAGAATCCCAAGAAGATTCCTAATGAGCACATAGGGCACCTGGGTAGCTCAGTGGGTTAAAGCCTCTGCCTTCGGCTCAGGTCATGATCCCAGGTGCTGGGATCAAGCACCGAATCAGGCTCTCTGCTCAGCGGGGAGCCTGCTTCCTCCTCTCTCTCTCTCTCCCTGCCTCTCTGCCTACTTGTGATCTCTATCTGTCAAATAAATAAATAAAATCTTAAAAAAAAAAAAAAAGATTCCCTACTGAGCACAGAGTACAACACGGGGCTTGATCTCATGACCCTGAGATCATGACCTTAGCTGACACCAAGAGTTGGACACCTAACCAACAGAGTCACCCAGGCGCCCCAGTGAGGAGTTCTTTAAATCAGGGGTGTCAGGCCACAGGCAGCAAAGCCTTGCTAAGATTCTGACACAGGTCCGAAAGACTCCACTGCATGGTTTCTGTCCCCAGGCTCTCTGTGGCTGGGAGACTAAAATAAGGCTAATTCATCAAGAGGTGGTCTGGATAATTAGAGGGGGAAAGATCTTAAACCGAAGCTCCCAGAGGACGGGAAGTGTCTCAGCCTTCTTTTCCCACCCAGAGACACATGCTTCAAGTGGAGTTCTTGGGGGGCTGAGGGAAGGCAGCAGGGACCTGAGCCCTCGGGCCACACCTGTAGGACCAGGCAGGGGTCATGCCACCCAGGCAACCTGACACAGATGTCCTGGGCAGGAGGGGGCTGTGGTCTCCCTGTCCCTGCTATGGGGGCAACTCTGGCTAAGAACTAACCTTGAAGGTTTGCACAGCCCAGCTACAGAAGGCTTCCTCCTGTCCACTGAGCTCATCCCCTTCCCCTGTAAGGACGAGCTGGGAGGCCCCCAGATGGGACAACTTCTGGTCGATGTCATGAGCAAAGGCACAGAACTGCGGGTACATGCTGGAGCCAAGGCCGAACACAGCATACCTGCCCGAGGAGGACACACAAACGGAGACTGGAGTGACCCTACCCATGCAAGCAACACATAGCACAACCTGCCCGTAAGCCAGCCTCAGACACTCCTACTCCAGCTGGGCACAGAACCAGCCAGTGCATGCCATCTTTGGGTCTTCTCCAGCTCCCAAGCCTTGTCACCAACTCCCATGACCAATGTATGCTCAGCCTGCAGACCTGTGGGAAGGACTTGGTTTTCCTGGCTTGACCCTTGACACACACTCTCTGCCTGGACATCTTGGATGAGACCCCCTTATACACAACCAGTACCCGCCCCGGAACCCGGGTCCCTGACACTTAGGTCCACAAGGCAGGGCTTAGACAAGTGGGAGTGGGGAAAAGCCTTACCTGAACTTGTTGGTAAGCTCTTTCAGCATGAAGAGAGATTTTTTCAGTTTCTAGAAAGAGAGAGAACCACTAAGTTCTCAGGACAAGATTCATAAAAGCACTGCTTTTTACTTTTCTTCTGGTGGCCCACTTCAAAACTGGCCATATCTGGCAGAAGAACGTTCAAGATTCATAAATGGAAGTCAGTTTATGTGTGGGGCTAACTGGCCAGGGCTTGAGGACAAGGTCAGCTTTAGTAACTCATGTGGGCCTGATCCCTGGTGTAGCCCTGAATAGCCCAGCCCCATCCACGTCTGGTAGAAAGAGGGCCTGGCATCTCCAGACGGTCTCCTCATGGGGCATGAGCCTTTTTTCCTGTTTGGAACCTGGTAAGAGTGATGACTGGTCCCATACTCTCTAAGATAACCCTCATTTCCAAGGATCTCAAGATAATTTTAGGTGCAATGTAAAATATTGTCAAATCACCTGGTAAGAGTATTCTCTTTTCTGTAATTTTTTTTGTTATTCCTGTTTCTATTATTATTATCATCTTTATGGAAACTAGGGAGAGTCTCAGCTGAAGCTACTGGAGCCCAAAGACCTCTAATACTTGACCATTGCTCATTTTAAAAAACAAAGCAAGCCGTGGTCAGGCAACGGTATCTAGCGAAAATTCAAGAACTTAGGCTCTCATTGGATTAATTTTTTGTTGGCTTTCCATCTGTGGGAATGATACAAAGTTTCCTTTACACATGAATTTTTTAGTTAAAAAAGGTAAGTCAATTTACTTGAAAATAGAAGTATGTCCTAGGAAAGGGGTCGCCTACATATGGTGATAATTACAAAGAAGGCGACCAAATGCTGAAGCTAAGGTAGCCCAGAGCGATCTGAGCACTCACTTCCAAATGTCTTCCATAGGACATGCTGGATCGCCCAGATCCTTTCCTTGGCCCCCTCGGGCCCTGGCACCACCACCCCCAAGAACACTGGGACCCAGGCCACACACCTCTCCGTTGCTGGGGGAGTCTCCATTCCCAAACGTGCTGGTCACCACCAGCAGCAGCTTCTCCTCCTCCAGATGGCTCAGTCTGTACTCGTCCATGCACAGAACCTGCAGAGCCCCAAGCGTGGACATCAGCCCTCCACACCGTCCCCAGACACCCTGTGCTTCCCTTCCCCCACCCAGGCCAGGAACCTCCCTCCCAATCATCTTTTTCCACCAGGCCCCGCCCACACCGAGCCCAACCGGGCACAGAGGCAGGTGCTTCCTGAATCCCTGTCGAACAGACCCACATGAACACTTTGCTACCCATCCTCCTGCCCCAAGCAAGCCCCACTGCCAATCCTTCCACAAGCCGGGGAGGGATCACCTCCCAAACACTGCAGGCCCCAAATCAAAACACTCCTACAGCCATTTTGAATTCTTAGTGTGCAGATGTATTTTCCACAAAAATGAGGTGAGGTTACAAAAACCTTTCACCCCTCAGGAACCCGAACGCTTTGCCTGAAGCAAATCTCAGGTGACATCTGTCACCACCTCCCTGTTCAACCCACACCCACGTGAAATGGGACGTCTCCCCACACAGGAGAAAATTCAGCACTGACGGCATGAATGGGTCCCCCTCTGGGGTTTCATTTTCCTATTCAATCCTTTGTCCCCTTCACTTTTAGCATGGCACCCTATAGTGAAGATGTTGAGTAAATAGGAATAAAATGTATCTACAGGAACTCACAGATATTGAGACTTGCATTAGGAAAGCATTTCTCAAACTGTGTTCCCTGGCACAAACTTACAAACTTACGTTCTGTGTAACTTTGGGAATCCCTGGACACACACCTATCCTTCTGTCACAGATTTACAACATAGAGTCAGCATATCCAAGGCCCTGGGACATTCAGGAGCAGGGCAACCATTTGAACTTTTGCCAATTTGTCTGTACACAGGCAGAGAAAAAGGCCTGTGTCCTGCTGAGCTGGTTACCTTGGGGTTGAAGGCACAGCTGAACAAGGCCCCCAGGTCCTGGGCCAGTGTTTCCGACTTTCCTGTCTCTGTGGCAAAGAGGATGGTGGCTCTGACTCGGGACACCATGGTCTTGCGAATCAGCATGGAGGCGAAGAGCACAGCCCTGCGTGGACAGACACTGTGTTGACTCAGCCCTCCAGAGGAACATGGGGGGCCCAGGAGAACAGGGGAGGGCTGATGTTTAAAGTGTGGCAGGATGAGGGAAAGGAATGCACGTTTCTTACCAGCTACTGACCCTGACCCATGGCCCTTCTCTTCCCTTTACCCGCTCAACCCACTACTCAGCCCCTGGGGAAAATGGAGGATGGGGAGGGTTAGGCCAATGGTGGCAGGTGATTCCCCCTTGGCGTCTGGACCCCTCCATAAAGATCATCATGTCTCTCTGTTCCCTGCCTGTTGAGGCCAAGAAGGGCAGCCGCCTGGGAGGAACGGCTACAGCTCAGATCTCAGCACTGGCTGCTTGCACTTACTTAACCAAGACTTTGAATGGAATCTTTCTTCTCCGGGGTCTCTTCTTCTCATCTTGCCAGGCGTGGGTTTTCCAGGCCTCCACCTTCAGAAAAGAAAGCACATGTGAGGGCGGGTGGGCCCTGACTTGGCTCTGGCGTCGGGGCGCGAGGGAGACAGAGGACGTGACATGCCCTTTGTGAGGTGGGGGTCCCTGAAGCCCACACTGGGGAGGACGGGGGTTCTGTCTCCCTCAGAGCTGCAGCTCCTGCCCACACTGTGGGGTCCTCTGGCTTATTCTCCATTAGTTTCTCCCAAGAAGGAAGATGCCCCTCTTCGCTTTCATCTTTAGTGTCTAATCACTAGGCAGGTCCTACAATGTAGAGTTCAAACCGGGTACCTCTTCTGAGAGTAAAGGAAGGTGTTAGGACAGCAGGTACAAACTACCGTAGTCATCAGTCACCCTAATTTGCTAGTTAGCATTTGAATGTAAGGAAGCTCTTCTAACCAGAGTGCTTTTGGACTTATTATTTTTAAAAATATATATATATATATATTTTAAGATTTTATTTATTTATTTGACAGACAGAGATCACAAGTAGGCAGAGAGGCAGGCAGAGAGAGAGGAAGGGAAGCAGGTTCCCTGCCGAGCAGAGAGTCCGACGCGGGGCTCGATCCCAGGACCCCAGAATCATGACCTGAGCCGAAGGCAGAGGCTTTAACCCACTGAGCCACCCAGGCGCCCCGCTTTTGGACTTTTTAAAATACGAACTGGTTTCAACAGGTAGCAGTGATAGAATGCGTTCTGGGCTGGGCATCCACCAGTTCGTTTGCAGAGCTAACGCCCATCACTTTTAGAGATGAGAACAGCAGGGCTCACGTGGGTGCAAAGACCCACCCAAGATCCTACAGCCAGGAGGCAGCAGAGTTGCCCCCAGGTGTGTCTGACCCAGGAGCCAAGCTCTTCGGCATCACGGGCTACAACTGTCTATGGGGGGTAGGGGTATAAGGGTAATGGTCGTCAGCCTCAGAAGCGTAAGCCCCAGTGGAGCAATGGGCCCCTGAAGGTAGAATAAAAGTTATTTCCTGAAGTCCCACTCTCTGTGGAAATGGACAAACGCTGCTCAGCCTCCCATGAGTGCAGCCTGAAAAGCATAGGTCTCTGGGTCCCCGACCCTCCCCCATGGGTCCCCCACAGGTGAGTGTGCGCGCACGCGCACACACACACACACACACACACACTCTACCCCTGAGCTCCCAAGACACAGAGGAAAGGAAAGCCCTCCTTTACCTGGTAGTAGTAGAAAGGGGACAGGACATAGTTTAACATCTCCTGGTGGAACACAGGAGTGATGCTCCCAGAAATCGGGGGAACCAGCCAAATCCAGTCAGCTGGGCAGCCCCCTCGGGAGCGGTACTCGCTCTGCATGTACTTCATGAAGGACTCTGCAGCTGAGTGGTGGTCCATGATGGTCACATTCTGCTTCTGAATGAGAAGGAGGCAAAGAGGGGGCATTGAGGAGAGGGATGAGGGAGTCATGAGTGTGGTCGGTCGGCTGCGGGGCTCCCAAGATGGACTGTGGAAAGGCCGGGTAATCAGCAAAATGAGACAGCCATTGCCCGTGGCTACTTCGTTGCAGCTAAAAATAAATACTCAAGTCAAAGACACTTTTGGAGCATCAAGGAGCCCCAGAAATCACCATAGTCATGGTGGGCCTACAGGTTATGTGGTGGACCCCCACCTCGGCCCTCTAGGGGCAATATCCCATTCTCAGGCCACACCTACAAGTCTCCCCCAACTCCCAACAAATGGCTCCCTCTGGATGCTGATAAATCCAACCACGGAGCCTTCTTGCCACTGGTTAGTAGAGAGTTCCAGGAGTTCCTTCAGCCAAGAAGGAACTGGACATGTCCGGAGAGGACTGAGTGTTGGGGGGAATCGTAGCCTATGGAAGACAAGTCACCACAATGTCCCACATCCTAAAATTGGAAGCCAAGGGGTCTGAGCCTTCCTGGAATGATCCAACAGAGGCAGCCACACCCTATCTATCTGGGGCGACTCATTGAGTCAAGACATCTGTTTAATGTCATGACTCAAACCGTGGCCTCTTACTGGCCATGTGACCTTGAGCTATTAGCTGCTGAAACTCACTAAGCCTTTGAAGCACAGAACATGCGCGGTAAGCATTTGCTGCCGTCCTTACTCGCGTCTGCTGGGCAGCACATCAGGCACAGGCATTACAGAGGTGAACACGAGGCCCTTTTTCTGCATTAGATTGTATTCTAAGGCGGGGACACAGAGGAAGTTGGCTGCCCATGTGGTCTGCTACGAGAGAGAACAGAGGAGAGTGCAGGGGCTGCTGGGAGACGTGGCCTGCTGAGTGCAGACACAGACCTGGAGGAGGAAGGAATTCCAGAAGCTGCTTCTAAGAGGAAGCAAGTATATATATTTTTAATTTTATTTATTTATTTGACAGAGAGAAAGCACAAGCAGGTGGGGGCCGGGTCGGGGACATGCAGAGGGAGAGAGAGAAATGGGCTCCTCCCTGAGCTGGGAGCCCAACATGGGGCTCAATCTCAGGACCCCGAGATCATGACCTGAGCTAAAGGCAGACGCTTAGCTGAATGAGCCACCCAGGGGTCCCCTAAGCAGAGGCAAGTCCTAAGGGATGGGCATAAGTTAGGCAGGGAAGGGGCCTTCCTAGAGGAGGACACTGCCCGAGTCAAGGGCAGAAGTACCAGAGCAGCCCGCTGAGGGCGGGCTCAGGGGTCTTCTGCTATCTTACACTTGTACGAGCAGGTCCCAGGCGCCGGGCCAGCTGTAAGCTCAGAAGCTGATGATGGTGATAGTAAGAACCATAAAACTAAGGCCTACTGAGGGTTTGCTAGGGGCCAGATAGCACAGTTGAGTGTTTTGCATACATTTTCATTTAATTCCTAAAATAACCAAGCGAGGGAGGTCCTACGATTTATTCCCGTTTTAGAGATGAGGAAGTTTATCCTGAAGGAGGGTGACGAGGAAGTCCTGGAGACACTCTAGCCATGAGGGGATGCAGTCCTCAGCGATCAGGAGACAGTTGAAGATCAGATTTTCTGGGACATATCTGTATCCTGCAGTGACAGGGCTGGTGCACAGAACCCACGGAAGTCAGGATGTGTGGTCCACGGGCAGTAAGGTCCTTCTGAGCCGGGCCAGCCCCAGGGGGCTCTTCCTGTTCCGCCTCAGACCACCCCCCCTGCCTCAACAATCAAGGACAGGCTTTAGCTGTCTATGGGGTGAGCAGCCTTGGGAAACTGTGCGATTGTAAATATTTACTGGATGTTTGTTTCACGTCAACTCCCCATTCCACTCCGCAAGGAAAGGGTTTTTGTCTACTTTGTTCACCACTCACATCCTTGGCCAAGCCTAGTGCTCGGTACATGCAAAACACTCAGTGTTTTTTGCTGAATGTATAAAGGACTGTCTTCCTAGCAGTCTGGCCTCCAGGGCCTCTGATGGCTTTGGGGAGATGGTTTCAGCCTCTAAAGTAGTATCTTCATACATCCGCTCCCTCCTTCCTAAAAGGAAGGGGGGCGTTCATATGAGTAAGAGAGGCACACAGAGGAGAAGGCTCAGTCCCACACAAGCACTAAACCGTGTGTGGACCCATGGGGTGGGTACATTCACTCAGCAGAGGGAAGGAATGAGCAGCCCCTGCTTGTGGCAACATGGGCTCTCATTCATTCATTCGGTATGGCCAGACATTCTCCTACTCCCTGGAGTAATGAACAAGAGAGACAAGGTCCAGCCCTAATGGAAAGGCAAGAAGTAGATGTACTATGTGATGTGGGAGCTAGTGAGAATTAAAAGGAAAAATAAAGACAGAGTTAAAGGAAGAAGAGAGAGGGCTGGGATGGAGTCAGGGTTAGGGTGCCATCTTCCATGGTGTGGTCAGAAAGACGACTGTAAGGAGGTGACAACAGAGACCTGGATGAAGGGAATGAGGGGGTCATGGGATGATTTGTGGGAAGGGTGTTCTAGGCAGAGGGGGAAAACAAGTGCAAAGGCCCTGAGGTGGGACCATCTAGGTGAGCCTAGAAAACAGCAAGAATTCCGGAAGTGACCGGAAGAGTGGCAGAGGACAGAAGTCTGACTGGAGTGGCTGGAGGAGGAGGTGTATGAGATCTTGCAGTGGGTTAGCTGCAAAGGGAAACAGGAAAACAAGGTAGTAGCTGTGGTTCTTATTTGGTTAGCTGGTTGTTTATTTCTTGGAAATAGGAAACGTTACAGCCTATTAGTCATTGCTGAAAGTGATCCAGCAGAGAGGAAGACACTGATGAGACAGAAGAAGTAGGGAGGCATTTTTAGGAATAAAGTCCTTGAGAAATGGAGAGGGAAGAGGATTCTGTGCTCAAGCTCGGGGAAGGACAAGTCTTGAAAGGTAAGGAGTTGCCTGTTGCTAGAAGCATTCAAGTTTACACTAGAAGACCCAGTGTGGGTAGGAGGGCTTATCTGTCTGCATCCCCAGCGCCTAGCACAAACAAGATGCTCAGTACTGGTGTGATACATGAAAAAATGGACAACGTTGTCAGGGGAGAACCAAGCATGATATGAGTGACTAGACCAGAGAACCTTCTGACCAGAAAGTCTCCAGATCCACAGAACACAACGTACCTGGAAACTGTGGAGCACAGCGACATTGATCTCAATGACAGCCCGGTCTTTCCAGAGTGAGGCCAGCTTGTGTGTTTCCAGGCCCATCCTTCTGCCCACTTCCTGCAGAGGCAGTGATGGGGTGAGTTGGTCCCTGAGAGCCCCCCCAGACAGACCCACACCTGCAGCCGGCACCGTCAGATGGGCCCTATTACCTCTAGAATGTTGTAGCGCTGAATGTCACAGAAGTCCCGGACCCCGATCTCCGTGCCCATGTACCAGCCATTGAAGGGGCACCCTGGGAACTCAAGGCCACCCACTTCAAGGAGCATGTTGGCCACTGCAGGCAAGGCATACCACTTTAGCTGCAGCTCACGGAACCACTCATACCTGGCAGGGAGGCAGAGACAGTGCTCAACGGGACCTGTACTATTGCCCACCCTCATCCCCCATCCCCACCGACAAAAAGACAAAAAAGTCTTCAGAAAAAGAATCAACCAAGAAGACTTCTTTCCAAGTGTTATTCTCTAAATTCATCCAGCCTGGAGAGGTGAACTGGGCACAGTAGATATCATTCATTAATTATGTATTCATTTACCTGCTGGTTCATGCAAACATACGTTAAGCAACAAGCATGTGACAGGCGCCGTACCAAATGCAGAGAACCCAACACAACATAGCAGTTAAGGACTCTAGTGTCAGAAAGCCCAGGTTCAAGTTCTGCCTTACCACTTACCAGCTGTGTGACCTTGGTATGTGAGTCAGCCTCTCTGAGCCTTAGTAACCCCACCAGTAAAATAGAGATACTAGCATCAAACTTATAGGGGACTAATAAAGTTGACGGTGTCACTCGTTCGTAAATTCATATAATTTATATGCTTATAATTGAGCTTATAATTGAGCACCTACTATGTGCCAGGTACTCTTCAGGTGGTAGCTATATATAGCTGAACAAGAAAGCCAAGATCCCTATACTGATGGAGCTTATGGACTAGAGTCTAGACTCCAAACAAGTAAACAGATGAATAGAAAAATAAGGTGATGTAGTAGTAGATAAGAGTATCTGCTCTAGACTGAGTGATCAGGATAGGCTTCTCAGAGGGGGTGACATTCAGGAAATACCTCATTGTAGAGAAGAAATGAATCCTTTAAATTTCTGAGGAAAAGGCATGTCAGGCAGAGGGAACAGCAAGTGCAAAGGCCCTGTGGTGGAAGTGAGTTCAGTGTATAAAAGGGACAAAAAGAAGAGTCCAGCTCAATACCTGTTACACAGCGTGTCTCTATATATGGAAGTATTTTTGTGAGGATGATTGCCGCCCAGAGCAGGGGCTGAACCAGGTGAGCTCCAGAAGTCACTATGGCCTTATACTTTCACCACAGTCAGAAGGGGGCAGCTGAGAGAGTTGGCAGGAAGACAAGAGGGCTAGGATGCTCAGTGTGAGAATGATAGAGCCATTTGAGGGTTTCTCCCCCAAGGTCACTTTTTTCCAAGTTCCTAGGGCCCCGTCTGTCAAAGCCCCTGCCTCCCCCTCATCATCAACATATCCTTCCAAGTCTAAGGCCTACGTCCCAAGTCTGGGGTTGCTGCACAAGTGCTGACAAGGCCAGATCGAGAGCCAGCCCTTGTGCCACTGCCTGCTGCTGGCTGGGCTTTGGGGGCAAGGAGGGGCCCGAGGCCGGAGATCTCCCCAAGGAAGGGATGGAGCAGGCACACCCCAGCAGCCCCGCCCGCTTACCTGGGATGTTCCATGGGCACCTCGAGCACAAGGTCGGGCGGGATTTCAAAGAACTCAGGGTCACGGCCGTCCGCCTGCAGCACCAGAGGCACCACGTCGAAGCGGCCGTACTTGGGCTCCCAGCCAAGGTTGATGCACAGCTGGGGGCAAGACGGGCCCAAATGAGTCCACTGGCCCAAATGAGGCCCCTTGACCCCTCTGGTTCCCTCTGTCAGCCACCAAGGCCGGACCCCATACCTGGGTGAACTCCACGCTGGCGGGGTCCCCCAGGATGGTGCCGTCAGGCATCTGGTAGCCCGCATACCGGATGAGCTGAGCGTTCCAGACCCGGAAGTCATGCTTCCCATCGCTCCGCTGCGGGAACACGGTGATGGCCGACCTTCCCCAAGACAAGGACAGTGCCATTGACTCCTCGGCTTTGGTGGGGGCTCCCAGCCAGCCTCCCCAGGTCTCCCTCTGCCTCCTGTCTTCCGGGTCCCCATCCCTCTGCACCTACGCTAAACTCTTGCAGCAACACAACATGCCACTCATTGGTCTGACAGCCCCCTTCCTGACATGCCTTCCCTCTCCTTCTTCTGCTTCCGGCCCCTCCCCTTCCTTTAAGACCAGTACAGGGGCCACCCCCTCCAGGATATTCGCCATCCCTCAGGTTGGGTCAGCTGTCCCAGACTTTGCCCTTACTGCACCTTTCCCTGGTGCAGTCCGGTGAGTGGGACGCTTGTCTAGCGCTGGGAACAGGTGCACAGTGGGCTGGGGCAGGGTCCTCGGCCTTAGTCACCTCTACATTGTCCCCACCCCACTGCCATGCCTAGTCACGGGTTAGGTCCCCATTATAGGGGCACTGTTTTTTTTTTTTTTTTAATATTTTATTTATTTATTCAACAGAGAGAGAGATCACAAGTAGGCAGAGAGGCAGGCAGAGAGAGAGAGGAGGGGAAGCAGGCTTCCTGCTGAGCAGAGAGCCCGATGCGGGGCTCGATCCCAGGACCCTGGGATCATGACCTGAGCCGAAGGCAGAGTTCTTAACCCACTGAGCCACCCAGGCGTAGGGGCACTGTTTGCTGAACAGAAAAATGAATGAATGGCCGAACAGGCTGTTCAGTCCATCAGCCTGGACCTCTTTGGCTGAGGGTAGGAGAAGGTAAGGTTAGGAGAGGGGGATGCGTACTGATGAAGAGTGACTCCCAGTCCTATGAAAAATGACACATTGGAGCCTTGAGCTGCAAAACCAACCTCTCATCCCTTCTAAAAAGCGGGGAGCCTGACCTTGAGCAGTGACGATGTTGCTTCTCAAAGATCCCCCGCCCCCTCCAAATGGTTCCAAGTCAGAAGGAAGTCAAGGGCATGGGCTAGGAAGAGTGGTTAAGCTCACGGAGGCTTGCCCAAGAAGCCTGCGTCTTGCTCCTTTCTCTTTCTCCCTGGCTTCTCCTGGAGAAGCCTTCCCTAAACCTGTCTGCATCCTTTCGCTCAGACTCCGGGGCAGGGTGGGCCCCAGCTGCAGCCCCGGGAAAGGGGAACTCACCTGATGTTGCCATTGTTGGTTGCATAACGCAGGTGTCTGCAGATGTGCTCGAACATTTCCTTGGCAGTGGAACAGCTCCGGGCGTCGAAGACCTGCACACAGCCCACCCAGCCCACACCATCAAGGACCGTGAGGACAGAGGTCTGGGGTTGATCAGAAGCAAAGTTATGAGGGAACAGGGGAAGTGGCCCGCACGCCCCACCACCACCCAAGCACCAAGCAAAGAAGAACGTTCTCTTCTTTCTCTGCATCAACACCTTCCATCTCAGGGCTGCCCATCCCTCCTTTCTCCTGCTCTCCTGGGGGAGCCCAGGCAACCCCTCTTGGAAGACCCTATCAAAACCCAAATCCCAAGAAAACCTGACTTTTGGGCATGTGAATGGGGACTCCCACAGCCCGAGCCTACTCCCTTTAGAACATCAGCACACTGGGCTCCCAGCATTTTCTTTCAACCTGTGTTGGTTTCACTGGCATTTCTCATCCATTTCCCTGTCCAAGCAATTTCCATATTATCCAGCAATGAAGGAGGCCAGGATAAAGACAGTGTCTCCTGGGAGCCGAGGACTCAAATGGCCCTCTCTCGCAGCACCAGGGTCTCAACAGCTCATTCAGTTTTACGTCTGGGTTTAAAGGGAGACCAAAGACCCACTAGAAATCCTGTCCTGCAATCAGATCCTAGACTTCCAGGGGGAGCCCTATGAGTCCCCATTTCATGTTCACCAACGTGAAGAGAGAACCGGGGAGCCCCGCCCGGCTGCTCAGGGCCCTGTGCACAAGGCCTGCCCGCCTCCCAGTTTCCTCCCCTGCCCAGGCCTGGGCAAGCCCACCTGCAGGTTGGACCACTGGATTCTCCCGATGCAGCGGGGAGCGTTGCGCCAGGCCTGCTTGGCCGCGAAGATGAGCTCATCCCCCGTCAGCTGATAGGTTCCTGTTGTTTCTATCTCCTTTGTTACCGCTTCCACCCTGGCCAGATGTTCCTCTATTTTTGCCCTGGGGGACAGGAAGACAGCAGGAAGATCAACAATGAGATGGCCTTAGATGGGGGTGGGGGTTTCATTCACTCCACAGAAGCAGGAACTGAGCTTGGGGACCAGGAGGGCAAGATGTCCCTCAGGGAGACCATCCCCCTCTGGGGCCAGCTTCACAGGTGTGGGACCCCGGAACCTGGGCTCAGAAGGGCCCCAGGCTTGGCTTAACGCTCTGCTGTCCCTGTCTTGAGATTCTTTCTCATTTTGGAACAGGGAGCATCATTTTCATTTCTCCACTGGCTCCTGCTGGTTACCCAATGCTCTTGATCCCACTGAAACCCTTGTTGTCGGGCGCTTTTCCTCCAATCCCATTCATCTCAGCTTGGCAAGCATCAGCAAGGAGTACAATCCTCAGACACTTGCAAGACCGGAGAAGGACCGATCAAGTCAAGTCACAGCCACGTCCTGCCTCCTGGCCACCTCCCGTGGTCCAGAGATGAGCTGTCCCTCCCATGTCGGCTCCCGTGTACCGAGAACTCATTCTGAGCCAGGTACTGGGCGATGCGGCTCACAGTCGGGGTCTCACTGAGTCTGTGAGGGAGGTGGTATTTTTGTCCACTTTATAGTCGGGGGTAGGAAGGCCCTGCAGGGCAGGTGAAGGACCAGCCCAGGAACGTAAGTGTGATAAAGAGCAGGTAGGGCTCAGGTTCCCATTGCCCTGATGCCAAGCCCTGGCTCTTAACCTTCCACTTTCTGCCCCTGGGGGGATTGCAAGCGTGGAGAAGTTGAGGGCCTGCCCACGCTTCTCTGAACAGGGACAGGTGCTCAGGACCCAGCCTGCAGGGCCCCAGGGCCGACTCAGGCAGGAGCCCTCCACCGCATGGTCCAACCTCGCAGGCACCCCTTGAATGTACTGTTTCTCAACCTCCGGCCTGCTCAGCCAGCACTCCTGGGGGCGATTTCTAAACTGTTCTAAACTGTTCCTGCTCACCCCTCCCAGGTGGCCAAAATATCCCTCAGGGAGGGATTCAGTCAGAAAGGCTTTAAAACACACACACACACACACACACACACACACACACACACACAGAGCAACTTTGAAATTTCCAATCAACACCAAAGACAATTTGAAATGGCAACAAACAGAACAATTTAAGGAATGAACTCGTGATTAAGGAGAGAGGACAACTCAGAACAGAATGGCCTTTTCTGTGGATGAAGAGTGTCTTGACAGCTCTTCCTTGATCAAAGAAGAAAGCTCAGAGACAAAACATTCGGGGTTCCTTATCGGCAAGGACACCCCTGGCATCAGGACCTGCTGGGTGAGGTTGAGGCGGTCACACTGGGAGCCCCCTTCCCACACAAAGCTTCTAGCAAGACTCCCTGCTCGGTGTCCGAGCACGGAGAGCGTAGCAATCACCAAATCACGGATACCTTGAGCCCACTCCCTGGTGTTAGTATGTGACTATGTAAGAAAAGGTTCTGTTTTACATTTTCCCTGCTATTCCTTTAGAGTTTTGCATTTTACTACTGTTTTCACAGAGTTGCACTTCAGATGCTATGATGCCTATGAGTTCTGAAAAAAAAAAAAAAAAAAAGAGTGTAGCTTTTGACATCAGTGAATGGATCTGAACAGAACATTGAGCAAGTTACAGTTTCTAACTATACAATCCTTCATTCGCTAAAGACCGAACCTGCCAGCAGACTCTGGCTGCTTGTGTGATCGTGGGGATGGACTGCCATTTGTCAGTCACACCCCCAGGACCTCTTGACAGGTTCGAGGTATGGACTTGAAACTGAGAAACAGACCTTCCGTCTGTGAGAAACAAGTGGGTTTCTTTGAAACCTCCAGGAGCAACCCGGTGGCTTCCCAGGGCTAACACCTACCCAGTGCCTTCTAAACGCCAGCAGGACCTCCCAGGTCCTGCATGAAGTTGGAACCTTCAAGGTCAAAGAGCTGGATGCCAGAACCCAGGTTCAAAGCAGGGGCTCTGGTGCCAAATTGCCTGGGTTCACAACCCAGCTGTGGGACTCTGAAACATCTGACTTCAAGCAAATTATTTCCTCTGTGGGCTTTCGTTCCTGTAAAATGGGAATTCCTACTGGTGTCTATAAAATGGGGGGGGGGTACTCCTTTCAGAGTTGTGGTGAGCATTGCTTATAAAACACTTACGCAGGGAACAGAACACACTTAGTGCCCAGTGAATGTCAGTGCTGATACGGTGGCCCGGTGAGGCCCATCAGGAGACTTCCTAGACCCTGAGAGGCTCATTGGTCATTGGCAGAGCTGACAGCCCGAGGATCTTGAACCTCCAAGCCACAAAGCACTCCTGTAGAGTTTGTGGCTTCTCAGCACACATGGCAGCCAACCCCCAATGGGTTACCCAACCCAGCTCTGTAGGTGAGTCGCCAAACGAGCGTTTAGAAAACACAGAGCTCTGCTTTGTCCACGATTCTTGAGATCCTGATGTCCTTGGCCCAGGGTACCCTGCATGAGCATTTTGCAAAGTCCTCAGGTGACTCTAGGCACAGCCAGGGTTGAAATCAGCGACCCTGGCAGATTAGGGCACTTTTCAGAAGCTCAAGGCCCCTTACCCACTCAGACATTGCAGGATCATCGAGGAGGAGACATAGTATTACCAGGAGCCACTCTTACCACCATGGGGTGGGGGTGGTCCCAGGTGCATTTCTGTGATTCATTTCATGCAGTAAAGAGCTGTGTGGCCTACACCGTAAAAACCATACTCCCCTCCCGGCCCATAAAACAGCAAATGCATTCCCTCAGCCATTCTGTCTTACAATCCCTTTGTGTATTTTTATACTAAAGTTGTAAGTGGGCTTTACATTAATAATCATGAATTCTATGAAACCTAGGAATATGGAACCCCACAGAGTTCAGGGCAAAGAGTGTGACTTGCCCTCTCCAGGTCAGATGGCATGGCTTCTAGCTGGGACTGGGCTTCCCTGTTCACCCCTGGTGGAGGTCTGATCAGGTGGTCCCAAAAGTCCTTTCTCTCTCCAACATTTCCTATTAAAAGAGCACGTATCAGCTCATCGTCAAAGTTACCCTGTTCAAAGCTGGGTTCTATTCTTACCCCATTTTTACAGATGAGGAAGTTGATGTGCAGAGAGGGTGAACTGATTTCCTCAAGAATCCAGCGCTGGTTACCGGCACAGCCAGGATTCAAGGTCAAACAGTTACACTCCTGGCCCCCACTTTTAACCATCACTGCTATGCCTCTCTTGCTTATGATTACAAGAACCGACTCTGGGGTCTTTCCCCTTGGAAAACTGTGCTTGAGCCCTGGCTCCCCTGTGACTCTGGAAAGGGAAAGGGCCTGGGGTCAGAGGGAAATGACTGAACACAGGAGAGCTTGGCTAAAGAGGTCTGTAGCAATCCAGCCCAAGTGAGACTTACTCTTTGAAGGAGTCATAATATTGGTTGACAAATTCAATAGCTTGAGGTAGAAGCTCATCTGGGGGAGTAGGCTTGTCCCTGGGTCCTCTGGTTAAACTTTTGGGGTTCATGATGGCTCCCAGACAAGACTTGGACTTGCATGCAAGCTCCTGGAAAGAAAGAGGTAGGTGGTGAGGGGGCTGCTTGGCCCCTCAGGAAGGTGTTGACAGGGGTCCTCCTTCCAGGCCAAATCTCCTGGCTACCTCCCACTCCAGCCTCTCCAGCTTCCTGCTGCCCTTCTCCACCCCTGTGGCACCTCCTCCTTGGGGCCCACCAAGCTTTCTCGCCACACACATCTCCTTTCCTCTACTGGCTGACCCAAGTAGGTGTAAGCCAGGGTGATTCCTACCACCTTGGGCTCAGTCTCTGGCCCTGCTCCCCGGCCAGACTCAGACCCAGGGCCAAGTCAATAGCTTGATCCCTGGGAATCTCTCAACTATCTTCTCATTTAGAGAGGCTGATGTGGCTCCTGGGAACATACTTGGTATTCAGCCAAAATGAACCAAAAGGAGAGGATACAAATCCTGAAGTCAGAGGAAGGCACAGAAAAAATGCTGGAAGGAAGTACACCCTAATGTTAACTGTGGTAATTTCTGGAAGGTATGGGAAATCTTTCCACTTTCAAGGTCTTAAAATTTTCAATGACTTTCTATTTTACAGTCAGAATGCATTCTATAGTTGGAATAAGAAACTTAGGAGAAGGAGCCTTGAACACTACTCCAAGTACTCACTAACTGCTTGAATTCTTCTCCAATCTCCCTATCAAAAAGCACTTGAATCCTTCTAATGACACGGAACTCACTATCTCTTAATGTAGCTCAGTCCAGCTTTGGGCAGTTTTTTTCTTTTAAGATTTTATTTATTTATTTGACAGAGAGAGATCACAAGTAGGCAGAGAGTCAGGCAGAGAAAGAGGGGGAAGCAGGCTCCCTGCCGAGCAGAGAGCCCAATGCGGGGCTCGATCCCAGGACACCGAGATCATGACCTGAGCTGAAGGCAGAGGCTTTAACCCATTGAGACACCCAGGAACCCCTGGGCAGTTCTGTTAGAAAATTCTCCCCGGGGGGGGTGGTGCCCAGGTGACTCAGTCGGTTAGGCATCTGCCTTCAGTGCAGGTCATGATCCCAGGGTCCTGGGATGGAGCCCAGCATGGGGCTCCCTGCTCAATGGGGAGTCTGCTTCTCCCTCTCCCTCTGTTGCACCCCGTTTGTGCGCTTGCTCTCTCTGTCAAATGAATATATAAAATCTTAAGAAAGAAAGAAAGAAAGAAAGAAGAGAGAGGAAGGAAGGAAGGAAGGAAGGAAGGAAGGAAAAATCCTCCCTGTTACTATGCGGTATCTCTACAAAAGACTGAATTTTTTCCTGTGATCCTTTATCCCATCTCCTGGACAATCCAGCATCCATCAGGGGACTACCAAGGGGCTGGCATCATCTATGTCCTGTGATTTGTACAGACCACTGGCCTCTGTTCCCAACACCCTATGATCAACCAGATAATTGTCTGGTTTGCCCAGGGGAACATCCATTTGATCTACTAAAGGCCCAAATGGCTTCCCCACCTTGGGACAAGGGTGGTTCTCCCTGAGCCCCGGACTTCTCACCCCTTTGGCCTTGTGGTGGAGTGTGTCTTGGAAAGTCATCCCGCTGCCCCAGTTTTTGATCCTCACATGCCGAGGGCAGGCCGATGGGGGCCCATCCAGCTTGACCAGGGTTTCTGGAGACGTCTAAGAGGGGTAAAACACCAACAATTTACAAATGCCTTCACTCTGGGGCTCCACAGGTCTCCCCTGGGCCCTACTTTGGCTTGGGGTGGGGGCCTAATGGGTGAGGACCCGGGTCAGGATATGGGTCTGTGTCCCTCCTCCTTCCCGGCAGCCTGGCCATCTGGGCCAGTGCCTGCTAAGAGTTCCAGGTGTCTGGGCTGCTGGCCAGGCTTCTCTCCTCACCCAAGACCCTGCCAAATGCTCCCTCGGTGGAATTGCAACAGGAGGGACTGAGGTTAGATGCAAGGGAGACAACTGTCACAGCCAGTACTGCAGAGAACAGAAACTGGGGCAAGGAAGAATATACCACTGCTTTCCCCGGAGTTATTTAAGAATACGGAAAATATCTTCACCCATTTCTCTGCCCACCTGTCTGTTACGTTAAGGTCCAAAGCTCTTTGGAAAGATGGACCCTGTGGCCAGGGGCTGGGACTGGGGCTCCGCCACTGAGTCTGGAATCACACTGGGGTGTCCCACTGCCGGCTCCATGAATGGTTGCCTTTCATCCATGCCTGTCGGCCCACACTGGCAAGTGATCCAGGGGCCAGAGCACCATGGGGGCCACTATTCCTGCCCACCAGGGATCATCCCACTCTCCCAAGGCCCTTCCTCACCTCTACCCGTGCCCCTGTGGGTCCCCACTCACTGCCCAGACCCCAGCCTCCACCAGGCTGCTCAACCTGCGTCCGTCTGGGTGAGGGAGGAAGAGGCTTCCCACACCCGTGTGACTCACTGACCTTTACTGTCCCTGTGAGGGACTGGGGGGACTCATTCCGGTGCTTGCCGAGGCTGTGACACTTGGGGTCATCCTGTGTCACTAGACTGTAAAAGGAAACAGCCAGCATGAGATAGGGATATCTAAGGGCAGAGAGGGATCTTGGAGTCCCCCCACTGCTAAGCCCTCATTTGATGGATGGGGGAACTGAGGCTCAGAGGGTGGGAGTGAATTTCTCAGCTGCTGGTCAGGAAGAGGAGAGCATGTGGTGGGGGAGGCAGCTGGTCAGACCCAATCTCCCCGTCATCATCAACCTCCCTCCCCCTCCTCTTCTCTTGCCTTCCCGCTACAAAGCAGGGAGCTAAGCCAAAGCTGCCTGTCGGAATGGTGACCCACAGAAGCTCTGAGCACCAATGTGGGATGACACTGAATGTCCAGGGAATGGCTCCTTTCCACCCTGTCCTCCCAGGCCAGCAGCACTGCCACTACCCAGTTGTCTGGAGCGACTTGGGCTTTTTTTATGTAAAACCCCTGATTGGGGCGTCTGGGTAGCTCAGTGGGTTAAGCCTCTGCCTTCAGCTCAGATTCGTCCTGGGATCGAGCCCCGCATCGGGCTCTCTGCTCAGCAGAGAGCCTGCTTCCCTTCCTCTCTCTCTTTGCCTGCCTCACTGCCTACTTGTGATCTCTCTCTGTCAAATAAATAAATAAAATCTTTTAAAAAAAAATTTTTAAAAAATTTAAAAATTAAAAAAAATAAAGCCCCTGATTTATCTGGGTTTATTTATTTATTCTAAGTTGTTATTACGATAACATAATTTTATTTTATGGTAAATGTTAAGCATTTATGGTAAATGTTAAGCATACACAAGTAGAAAAAAAAAATGCTGTAATAAATCCCCAGGGGCCCTTCACCCAGATTCAACCCCACCCAATTGTCAGTCTTGTTTGAATTCTACTCTCCCCGTGTCTGCTATCATTTCAAAGCAAATCTGAGACATCATGTCATCCAAAGATGTCTCAGTAAGGGTATCTGGAAGTCAAGGACTCTTTTAAAAAATATGTTTCTTTTCTTTTCTTTTTTAAAGATTTTATTTATTTGACAGAGAAGAGAGAACACAAGCAGGGGGAGCAGCAGAGGGAGAAGCAGGCTTCCCACTGAGGAGCCCAACTTGGCGTTTGATCCCTGGGATCATGACCCGAGCCAAAGGCAGACACTTAACCAACTGAGCCACCCAGGCGCCCCTTAAAATGACAGATACAAAGAACTTTGGCTGTTCTTGGAAGACGAAAAGGCCCTAGGAGTCTGAAATCACTCAGAAACCACTGTCTCTGGTTTGGAATTCCAGGTTTGTTCTCCTGGCAAATGCTGCAGGGAATAGAAGGCATGTGACCTCTCTGGGCCCCTTACACGTGAGCACCCAAGAGTCGCACCCCACACACGCCTCCTCCTGGGGTGAATCACACTCTGGGGGCACAGGATGAAATCTTATTGTGTTCTGTGTCCTTTTGACTATTTTCCGGGGTGGGCATGTGTGTGTGCACACGTCCAAGGGGAAAGGAAGTCAGAAAGTATTATAAGGATCTCTCATTTTCCACTTTTAAAAATTATGTCAGAAAGTGAGTGAGAGAGAGAGAGATAGCACAAGCATGGGGGAGAAGCAGGCAGAGGGAGAAGCAGGCTCCCTGTCGAGCAAGGAGCCGGATGCGGGGCTTGATCCCAGGACCCCGGGATCATGACCTGAGCTAAAGACAGCTTAACCCACTGAGCTTAACCCACTGAGCCGCCTAGGCGCCCTCTCATTTTTCCACTTTATACCTATTTGTAATGTGTTGGAATATGAAGAATGAGTATGTATTACTTTAATTATTGGGAAAAGTAATGACTGTATATTTCAATTAACATTATATAATTAACTACGTACATTAGATAGTAGCATCACGTGATTTATAGCTATAAGGAGAGAGTGTCTCTTTAAGAGAATGTAAGTATGGGGGCGCCTGGGTGGCTCAGTGGGTTAAGAGAATGTAAGTATGTATCAGAAAGCAACTTCTACCTGAATGGAGTGATTGATTCAACAGCCTTATAAAGGGCCTTCCATGCGACCCACTACCATCAAGCCGCTGGTCCAAACTGGGGGCCCCACCAGAAAAAAAATCCAAAATAAGGTAGTCTGTACAGTCAGAACAGGTACGCCACGGCCGAGCGATCGTCACCAGGCTCCTTAAATCAGAAGACGCTTTGAGCCTGGGGTCCTCAATGAGGCAATGCCTCCCTGCTCTTCTCAATCTTTTGCCATCACCCCTCACCCCCATCTCCCCCTGCTCGTTCTTGCTACCTTCTACTTACTTGTGGCCACAGGACTGGAGAATTTGAGAAGCGTACTGGTCCACAGTAACGTTTAGATGGGGAAATGCTCTCTTTCTATACTTCACCTAACTACTGCTCCCAAATATTGAAAAGCTACCTGAAAATCCACTCTACAGAGGGGTCCATAGTCCACCTGATCACATTGCCTATGGCTGCATAATTTAGGTTGCACCCAGCTTCTCTACTATTATAAATAATATACATATACACATAAATAATGCCTCAAACTGTGTATATGGTCTGATGCTCGGGGTGTGTGTGTGTCTGTGCCCGCCCAACCATAGAAAAACACCTGGGGGAGATGCCAGTAAATATTAATTAACAGTGACTAGCATTAAATGATGACAGCATCGATCTGAATTTTCCTTTATAGTTTTCTGCATTTTCCAGCTTTAACTATGACCATGCATTCCTTCATAACTAGGAATCTTTTTTTTTTAATTTGCAAAACTAATAAACAAAGCTATGCGGAATCACCGTCCTCCCTCCCCCTCCCCGCCCCCCCACCCCCCGCAAGGTAGCTAATTTCTTTGGGTTTGCTGTTGGGAGACCGGGTAGCTGGAAGCCAGGTGAGCGTACTAAGGATCTGAGTACTTGTAGCCCAATTACTGCGCAGTCTATCCACGCGCTCCTGCAATTTGGTTAAAACCGCAGCTATGCTCAGCCCCGTTAGATCCTTCGAGGGAGCCACGGACCGTTAAGAATCTGCCATCAGCAGGAATGCTGGAGCGTGGTGCTTAGACCCAGCAACTATCCGCAAGCCTCCGAGTGACTGAGGATGGTTAAGGTCGGCGCTGCCTTCTGTGGGTCGTTTGGGGTAACGGGGGTCCTGACTTCCCTTGCAGTTTCCACTCCTGACCACCGCCACTGCATTCACGGGGTGGTGGGGGGTGGGGCACTCTGGGAAATGGGTCTAATTCGTAAACCAAGAACCTCTTTGCTCTCTTCATCCTATCTGTCCTAAAGCGTGCAGCAGTCCCAGTGCTGAAACATCCAGAAGGTTCCCAAACGCTAAAACATCCCCAATTCCTACTCCTGCCCGCGTAGACGCCTCTCCGGGAGCACGCGGAGCTTCCCTGGGTCGTTTGTGGCTACTGAACTGCAACCTCCAAAAGGTTCTAAACGAGGAAAACACTTGATTTAAGTAAATCCGCATCGGAATCTTACGGGGGCGAACATTCCAACCCTCATACTTGGACGGAAACCCGAGGCACGCAGCGGGTCTGGGCCGCGCGCCCGGGTTCGAGACAGGTCCCGGCGCGGAGCCGCCCGCCACCCTCCCTGGGCGGACCCGGCCCGGCGGGAGTACCTGGCTCGGCGGGGTCCGCAGGCGGGCTGCGGCCGCAGGATCCGGCGGAGAAGCCGGCAGAGCCGGGGCCGGGCGGCCTCGCACGCAGCGCCCAGCCCCTCGCGCATGGCCCCCCGCACGAGCGCAGCTCCCAGAGCGTCTCGCCCAGCGCCGCCCGGGCTACTTTACCACGGCGGGAACCCCGCAGCCCCCGCCCCGGGGCGGAGCGAACCGGGGGCGGGGGGCGGGGGGCGGCCACTCCCGGCTTTACCCGCGCTTGGCCCAGGGCCGGATAGTCGGCCCGCGCCTCCGCTTTCCTGGCCGTGTCCCCTGCCCACTACACCCCTCGGCGTCCTCAAGAAGGTCGGCGTTCAGGACGCCCCTGGCCTCTCTGGGCCAAGATCACCGGCCTGCGCGGCCAGCCTCGGCTTTCTTTATTCCTCGTGAAACAACAGAAGGGTTTATCATAATGATTCCCACTCTACGGCGCTTCGAGTTTGGAAAGCAAACTTTTCTGTTATCTCATCCATCCTTTACGAATTCCAGTCCAAAAGGCAGTTCTGTATTGTTTCCTCCTGATTGAGAAGGCAGCTGGGGGCCCAGAGAGGTTAAGGATCTTGCCTGAGACCACACAGCAGCCCCCCAGGCCACAGCTCAAGCTCTCTTATCTCACAGGGCTGCCCCAAGAGCGTGCTATTTCTCTTCTGAGTGTTCTATGTGATTCCAGGAAGGCAGCCAAAGGAAGCACGGCTGGGGCTGACGTTTAGTGGGAGGCATTGTGTGCTGCTGGTGGTGGTGGACCCCTCCGGGGTCCTGGTCTTTGCTACCTAAAAGGAGCGGTTCCTCCTGACCTTACTCCACCTGTGAGGTGTTCCCAACACTTCTAGGGTCCAGGATAACTTCTAGGTCTGGGATAACTTCTAGGGTCCAGGCAGGGACAGAGCAGCAGCCCTCAACCTCAAAGTACAGGGGGGTCTCCTGCAAGGACTCCAAAATATTTAATCCCAAACCCAAATTAAAATGGAATGAGAGAGGCAGTTGCAGCCCAGCTAGCAACACTTAGCTCAACTTTGCTGCGAATGCTATGTATCTCCACCTGGATGTTCTCACAGTTGCCTTTGTCTCTAAAACACACACCCACCCCATGCTCACTTCCTAATCATTTGTTTACATAAAATAGAGAATCATGAGTCCCATATAATAGGTTCTTGGTCTTATTACATCTGAACAGATTTGAAAATTCCTTTTTAAAAAAAAAATATAGTAATTGGCTTCTTTGCCTTCAGGATAAAATCCCCTTTGTACTGCTACTTCCTCTTCCAGGAACATCCTTCCCAGCCCACCCCACCCCCTCACTGTGTGATCGAAGTCCAGCTGGGCCTCTCTGGTCCCCAAGGCCTTCTCCCATCTGACTCCTCCCCCCACTACCGCCAGGCCAGGCCCCCCACAGTCTCTGCAGAAGAGATTCTGGGGCGCCCACATTATCCTCTAACCTCATGTCTATCTCTCTGCCTGCCCCTCCTCTGCGCCAATATAGAAAGTTCTTTTAACATCCCATTCTTCCTCTGCCGGAAGCAGAGGAAGGCAGCCTTTCCCACATCCATCCCCCTCCCTGACTGCAGGAACTCTGTCTCTTTTCTTGGTTCCCTTCCTCAGCCCTTAGTAGGCCCTCAGGGAGAGCCCGCTGAGCGTAGAGGTTATGATTTTGGGCTTGGTTCAAACCTCAGCTCTACCACTCCCCGGATGCCCACCTTGAGTAAGTAAGTCACTCAAACTTGTAAAGTAAGGATAATAATAATTCCTGCCTCAACACCAACACCATAATAAGGACTTTAGAAGCCTGGTTATTTTTAGCTGCTGTGTATGCTGTTAGTAAATGACTCAACTTACTGTTTAATTGCTAAACAGAAGGGCTCACAGCCATCTCCAAAAGCCCCCCGTACCCTGCCAGGTAAGTAGCCCTCAGCGAGTGATTGTTCATGGATTGGGACATGCCCAGGACCATGAAGTGGCAGCTTGGTATAGCGGTTATGAGCCAGAATGCTGGGTTTGGCTCCTGGCTCTGTCATTTGCCAACTGTGAGATCCTGAAAATTATTTAAATCTTCTAGACTCCAGTGTCCTCCTGGCTATCGTAAGAGGATAACAAAAACTCATTCCTCATGATCCGTTTGGATGGATAAATGAATTAACGTGCACTATTTTCTCTCCATCGCCTCTAATACCTGTGTGAGTCCTCCCACCAGCTCCCCCCAGCTTAAGAAGATAAGTCAGCTGTTTGCCTCAAGTCAACCTACAGCTCAGATTTCCTGAAGGGTCCAAAACCACAAGTCAGGAATCAATGTCAGCGCTATCAGGAGTGTGGAATTCAGGGCCAAAGGCTGTAAACCACACTGCAGGGGCTAGAAAAGGGGTGGGGGGGATTCAGGGTGATCTCAAAAGTTGGGGAGGTGGGTTGAGTGGGTCTGGATGAGTGGAGGTAAGAATGTGCTGTGTGTATGAGCACTGGGGAATTGGGCAGGTGGGATGGGCTCCCCGTCTGGGAGGGGTGATCCTACAGAATGCCACGGTCAAGCCTTAGTGTGGTGACAGGCCATGGGGAGCCACTGTGGACTCTAGAGCAGGAGCATGGCTTGCTAGAAGTCAAGTTGAAGTAAGAGAGGTCAGAGCCAGTGTGAAGGGCTGCAGCCGGGAGGTGAAGAAAAGGAAAGGACGCATGATTTGGTGACCTCCTGACACCCTGGGAGGAGTGATGAAGCTGCTGTGAGTCTGAAGCATTTGTCTGAAGTGCCAGAAGGACACCTAGAGGCTCTCCAACCCTGCCCTCTCGCTTCTTGGTCTCTTGGCCACCAGAGCGCAGAATGCCTGGTTTCCAACACGCTCTCTTTCAGTTCCAGCCACACCTGGGACGGGACTGCCTTGCTCAAGAATCTGCAGTGGCTCCCTGCCTCGGCTCTCCTATGGAGGGCCCCCAAGCACAGTCACGCTTGCTTCTGTGTCTGAGTCTTTGCCCAGCCCCCTTCCTGGAATGTCTTTGCTACTTGTCTTCATGCCCCCCACCCCCAACATTCTACCCTCTCTTCAAGTCCACGGAGCCCATCTCACTTCTGAGAAGCCCTTAGAGGGGACCCTCTTTCACATTGCTCAGCCTCGCCCTAGCTGTGCTCAGCGAGATCAGCGACAGCTGCAACCAGTGCCATTTATCAAGCATTTCCTCTCTGCCAGGCACGGGGCAAAGTTGTTTACATGTGAAAACTCATTTAACTCTTGCTATGACCCCGGGAAAGAGGCATTCCTACCCATTTCTTGCAGATGAGGAAACCGAGGCTCGGCGGCTAGGGGACTTGCCAAAGGTCACAGGGCTAATAAGGGGCAAAGCCACCTACTTATCTCCAAGCCTGAGCTCTTAACCTTGCTGCTTTTCTGGTGGGTGTGCTCAGGGTGGCCCTACTACCTACGGGAGTCCACGGGAAAGCTTCTCTGGGGCTGTGGGGCTGGGGGGCAGCCCTGTGTGGACTGGGGCTTTGTTCTGATTCATAGGATCATGTTATTGCCGGTTGATTGGGGGTGGGGTGGGGTCGTGGGTGGGAAATCAATGATCAATCATGTGACCCGAGGGACGTCACTCCTCTCTTAGAGCTTCTATTTCCGCATGTGTAAAATGAGACAATAACTCTCACTTCACAGAGCCGCTGTGGGCATCAGGTTAGAAGCAATGTAGGTCAAGTGCCCCGTACAACCTTGGCACGGAGTTACTCAGTAACTCAGGGCAGCTGGTCAACGACAAGAGACCATATTAATTGAGTTATGCTATGTGTGGGCAACTCTGCTAAGGACACTCTACATACACTATCGGTTCATCCTCAACCTGCTATGAGGAGGGTCCTGTGGCTCTCCTCATGTGTCTGAGCATCAGAGGGGTTAACTGGCCTTAGGTCACACAGCTAGTGAAAGACAGCCCAGGGCCAGCTCCTGCAGCCCGGCACAAGCCTTGCCTAACATCCTGGTACTTTATACCAGATTGGTATTCAAATTATCGAACCATTTGTGAGGCATACACACCAGTGAATCAGAACGAACGTCAGCCAGGCCACCCTGGTTCTAACCACTGAGCACCACTGCCTCCCATTCTCAAGTCAGATAGTCCGTATTCCCTTCCTATCTCCCCCTCTCCCCCCACAATGAGACTCCAGAGTCCTTGAGGGGCAAGACTCTGCCATGTCCCTTCCTTCTCCACATAGTGTCAGGCGCAGTGAGGTGTCCACGAAACAGCGGCTGCACTAAATTCCAAGGGACATCCAAGAAGTCACTCGTGAGAACGGATCTCCAGTGAGAAGCCAGAGGCAGGGAGAGGAATTCTGAGTGGGCGGCGCAGAGCAGGGAATGGGAGCCCGGAGCGGGGAGCGGGTGAACAAGCAGCAGGTGGCGGGAGGCCAAAGCTTACCTGGAGGGGGCCCGGCTGGCTTTCCCCACATTGTTGTTGATGTCTGTTTCCTCGGCCAAGTTGAACCGGTAGGATTTGGCCTTGAACAGAAACTGCCAGGGACAGGCCATCTCTACGGCTTTGCAAAGCTGGCCACTTGTCTGGATTTAAACTCTGAGGTTCTTCACAGTGGGGCTGACCAGGGGAAGGAGATGGATCAGAAGGTTGGGAAGAGTTTGCAGAAGCCAGCCTCCTCCATATGTGTAGTTTACTACAGAATCAGTACAAAAGCTGACATACACAGTCTTACACACCCACTTCATCCCTGCTTACAACCTCTGTTCCTATCTGGAGGTTGGATTTGGGGGTCCATGGACATAGTTTTTAATTCCACAAAGCCATATAACAATCTAAAGGAAAGTCCCTGAACCCCATAGCTGAATGAGGACAAAGCACGTACACTTTGAGCCTCCTTAATGAGACCTGCTGTCCCCCTCCTCAACCCCGGGCAACTGGAGAGGAGCCCACTTGCGTTGAAATGTGGATGTCTTTGCCTGGTCCTGCAAGGTCATTCCCAGCAGTCTAATTAGCAACTGTCATGTTACACCTGTCATTGGAGAGCACACTCAAGTTGTAGCTGCCTTTCTTTTAAGATTTTACAACTGTTGTCCACCATATGGTCTGCTGCCTTTTTAATCTGGTGTGTGGGTGGGGAGAAGGGTATTTGTTTG